CTGTCAAAAGCAAAGGCTGATATCCAAAGAACATGTATATTCTTGTTTTTCCGAAGATGAATGCAATCTCAGTAACGTCCCCGTTGGAATATCAAGTTAATTAAAAAATCAAAAACACACCACAGATGTTTCATTTCAGCTCTGATTGAAACACGAAGATTATAACTACAACTTCATCAATTTTCTACCGATTTGATAATTTTGGCATTTTAAGAATGATTCAATTCTTTTAAATTCTTTAGTGAATGGCTATAATATATATTCTTAGCAATGAAAGAAGAACCTAAATTACTACATGTTATGGCTATATATTATTTATAGGCGTCAACGATATAACAAAAGTTATAACTATATCCAGTCGAACAATGCAATTGTCGACATAATGCAATGTGGAAAAAATAGCGCTCTTTGAATTTGTTTCATAGTATGTTAAAATTGGGACAAAATTAATGCACTCTGTAGTTTCTTTTCATAGTGCATTAATTTTGAGACAAAATCCACTTTTCTCGGCTATTCTATGCTTGGAGTCATCTTTTGAACAAACCTTAAGTTGCACTTCTTGTTGGTATTTTCATTTAAATATGATTGATGAAGACTTTGTTTATCTTCTTTTTCCTCTTCAAATTCTTCAAAATCAAATGTCAGTTTTGAATATTTGGAATATTCCAAACAACCCAAATAAATTTGAATTATATATCTACATGTATATTGGACACCGAAACTTCATAAAAATCCTTTCAAACAAAAATATTCCAGTAACTCTTATACCAAGCCTCTTTCTTTAGTCTTTACTCCTAATTAACATTTTAACAGTAATGAAGGAGAAACTTCACGATTACTGTGCAACAATGTATTCAAGAAGTAGTGGAAATCACATGTGGCTACTAAACAATTCCAAGGAACTTTTGGAACAATTGAAATCACAAAATTTTTACTAAAATCAACAACTGACAACTGATTTTTCAATAAAAATCGAACTACATGTAGTAAAATTACTTACCTTGTCATTGTACATTTGCAAAATTACTTTGTTTAACACATTTTTATTACACACAAAAGTACTCTGAAGTTGATATTAAAGAGATGCTTGAGTTTCTGATTGACAATATCTATGTTTTAATTTAATTAAAGCAATTTCTATGTTTTTGGAGACCAGGTCTTCCAACAATCTTGAAATTCCCATGTGTAATAATTCCTCCCCGTTATCAGCAGACCTATGTTTGTATTCATCTGAAGTAGAATTTGTTCAAAATTGTTTACGTGAAAAGAAGAAAACACTTGCTGTGGCCTTCAACTCGACATTTAGATATATCGATGACGTATTGTCAATTAAAAATAGTTATTTCCATTCCTTTGTCGACGATATTTAAACAATAAGAGATGTTTTACATCTGTTTCAAATTTGGATCTTTTACTTGAATGCGGAGTTTATATCTCTCAGTCGATTCGATATGGGAGAGTATGTTTTACGTATGAACAATTTCTAAAACCAGGTTAGTTATTGGCTAACAAGTTGCTGAAGCAAGAATATCAGTAGTCTCGTACAAATTCATCATTGTGTAAGTTCTCTGGTCGACCTTGTCAGCAAATACAATTTATTATTAAGTCAAATGCTGACTGACCTTTTTTCATATTGATTGTAAGGCCACTATGTACACACTGATTTGTCCATGGATTTTACGTTATTTCCCGATCATGTCAAGGAGAACAATGCGTATGTGACCTATATATACCTGATCCCACCTCTGAATGTTCCTATTTTGTAATATCTATTGGACTCTTGAGCTCCACATATTTCGTTTTGCAATTTTTCATATGTATTTCAATGTTAAAGTTTAATTGCCCAGAGTGGCCCAAACTTACCGCAGAGATTTATGTTTTAAAACAAAATGAAATCTCTGCTAACTGAGAATCCTCCATATAAATATTATTAGTCAGGAGACATGACTCTTTTCTCTTGAGAACAAAATTTTTATATTTGTTTTCTATTTTTACCGAATGAATCTTTTATCATCCGTAGTATTCCCACCCTACCCTGGGGATTTTGCTATGAACACAATTTAAACGGATGTTTTCATATCAATATGACTGATCCTGGCTTTCCCATTCTTGAGGAAAAAATTCTTAAAGATTTTTGCTATATGTACTAATGTCAAAAGTAGATCATCCACAGTGCCACAATCGTATGGGATGATGATTGAAACTACACTATGTTTGAAATCTTTGAAAAAGTATTATCTTTTCGGACTCAGTATTCTTGTGATGGATGTTTTTAAATGACGTCACTCAATTTTAATTTTTTTCTTCACCATCTGCCCTTGGCGGAGAAAAACCTAAGGATGTTCTGTGTAAATTTTGTATAAGATAGGTCATATGCTTTTGGGGAAGAAGCTAGAATAACTAAAATGTAACAACGACAATGACATCGACGAAATCAATCCAATGGGCAATAGACTAATTTTGATTTTTCACTTGAACCCAAAGTGCGCTGAAAAGCAAACTTTCTTCTCTAAGAAACATTAAGTCTTTCTACAGATTCCTAATGGTCTTCAAAAGAAGAAGTACCGCATTTTCATCTTTGTTAAGGAATGATTAGTCACAATAAATGTTATATAAATCTTTCAAATAAAGGAATTAAGTTATCAATAAGTCAAATTTACTAAATTTTATAACGCAACGCTAAAAGCATTACAAACAACGAAGTAATAGCCGAGATAGAAAGTAGTTTAGAATAAAAATGCTAAATTGTTTATTTTCTGTAAAATGGCGAGACTGGTACATGTACCTATCTTCGATTTCAAAAAAATATTTGTGAGAGCAATACCGGTATTTCAGAAACATTTTGTATGTAACACTTCTTGATTAAATACAAATTTATGACAGTTTGTCTTATAGATCACTTATGATAGACAATAGGACTAAGTTTATCACATTTTTTATCCACTTAATTGAACGAAGATTTTATAACTTAGAAAAATTATATTTTTTTGGTTAATTACAATCAAAAGGTGCAATTATTGATGTAGAAATGTTGAAAATTTTTCAGTTAATTTCTGACCCCTTTATAATACTCACAAAAACAACTGAGAATTAGTTTAATTTCACGCCTTCCTCAGTCCTTTCTGTTTTGCTAGATTAATATTAGTTCATAACTTTGAAAAAAAAACTTCTTGAATGAAAGTGATGGAAAGATGCATAAGGACAGAAAGAGTAACCTGCGTGACTCAGACCCCGCTTGTATAAGGACATAGAAAATGGCGACAACTGATTTTTCTCAAATGCAAATCTGGGTTCAGGACTTTGTACTCTTCAATCTTTGAAAACTATATATTGAGTTTAAAAAGAGAGCAATAAAATAAATGTTTTCAAACTTTATTTCACTCCCAAAGCTGTTTATAAACAGTATCCCTCAAGTTGACCAAGAATTCACGGTGATCTACAACTCTGTCCTTACAATCCGTTTCTGCAATTTAATACATAATACGTATTACAATTCACATTCAATACACATACAATGTCTATTCAATACGCATGCAATAAACATATGATATGGGGTTATTAAATTTTACATTGGTGAATATTTGTACGAGTTGACTGTACAAATGAATGACCTTGCAATATTACAATATTCACCGACATATGAGTTAAATACCTCCTGTACAATAGAGCTAAAACATATCCAATTGATTTATATTAATTATCAATTGCACTGCAGCAATTCAATGGATATATGATAGTTACATACTCCACAAATTCATATTTAATTTGAAATGCATCAAAATGAAGCTTGAAAATGAATTTTTTTCATGCAACAATTTTCATTATATTCATCCAAGGTTTTTGGAAGTTTAGAAAAGGTTTTATTTATATTAAAAGGAAAAAAATTATCAATTGCACTTAGATGCCAATGATTATTAGCATGATATGAAATAAGAAGCAAATGATAGCAAAAGCCTTTTACACTATGTATTATAGAATACACGACGGAAACAGAAGACAAAAAATACCAAATAAGTATAAAAGGCATGACAACTGAATGCCTGGATCTGTTTTTTGTAAAATATATTTGTTGATTTTAAGAAAATGCATAGGCGATATTCCTATTGGCTTTTTCTGCAAAAATAAAACTATATTAATATGATTAAATTTAATCTTCAACTTTAAAGAAACACTGTGGATAAATTTACATAACTTTGTGGATTCAGAGATACTTTTATGTACTTTTGATAACTTAACTGCTAATATTATAGGATGTCATTATCATTATTTATAGCATAGTGTGTCAAATTTAAACTCCGCATTATATGTCTTTTAAAAGAAATCATCAAAGGTTATTTTTTTAATTAGGTCAAAAGTGAAGGTCAATGTCAAAAATCGTTGAATGCTCGGACACATCTTGTCATAGGCAGTGCACATGTCAAATATGAAAAACCAGTCTCTTCTCATTCTAAAGTTATAAGGAAATATAACATATTTGAAACGTAGGTCATACCTCAAGGCCACAGGGTAAAAAATCATTAATGTACATGTATTTCGAAAGGTCTTGTCACAGGTAATAGATATCTCTAATATAGAAGCCCTATCTTTTCTCTTTCAAAAGTTATGACCAATCAAAAGTATGTCAAACTTCAAGGTCACGAGATCAAACATCATAGTACATTTGTATATTTAGAAAGGTCTGTCACATGTAATGTATATGTGAATTATGAAACCCATATCACATATCACATGAAAATGGAGAAAAATCAATCTTTGGAAGAAATATAATTAACCACCTAAGTCTTATATTCCAAAAAATAATAAACAAGAAAGATCTTTTTCAAACCAAGTTTTCAATTTTTTTCAGAAAAAAATCCTTAATTTAAAAGTAGGCGATCGAATTTGATATTTTGCAAGGAACCTTAAAAACGTGTAATTTCCAATTAGTATTTCCCTATGGATTTTGTCGTTCCTCATATTGACATACTGTGTAAAATTGTAGCTTACATTTCATTAAAAAGAAGCATTATTCTTATGTCAGCTCTCAAAAAAATCTCTATTGGTACACTAATCAGGATTTGGGTCTAATTCGTTCTGCGATTGGATCTGTTTATCTGAATATGTTTAGAGGTTGGATCACTTCTCTCTCGGAGCCTCGATTTGACAGCATGGAACAACATAACATTGCTTAGGAATTCCTCTGACCTATTGCGATTGTAGCGGACTTCGTTAGAGAAAAGGTAAGATGAATTTATATATCAAAGGCAAGGAAAAAATATTGAAAGACAAAAAAGCAAACATTTTTTTCTTTGAAAATGAAAATTAAAAACGAATTATAGCCTGGCAGTTTTGAAGAAATATTTCAAAACAAAAATTGTTAGATATAATAATTTTAAAAAATGTTCTCTTAAAATGATCGAGTGGAATGAGTTCTATTCAACAGTAACTGGTCTTTAAATATAACTTTTAATGTAGATTATTTTCTCGCAATTTTCATTTTAATGATGAAAAATTTCTTTCTTCTTTTTAAATTTATTTTAAAATAAATCAAATTTTCTATTCAACAGTAACTGATCTTCAAATGTAACATTTTTCATTTTAATGATGAAAAAAATTTTTTAAATTAAATATTGTAAAAATGAAAAATGAAAGCATGAAAAAATGCGTTGAATTAAATTAAATACATAGTAATTGACTCTTGATTCATTTTCAAAATTTTTTTCTAGCAGGTAAGCTGAAAAAATATATAATTCAGTGAAATGCAATTTGGACTGCATTCATAAAGAAAATTGAAATGGAATATTAATCAGTTAAATAAATTCATATTTCTTCGTCAGCAAGATAAATTAAGTGTCAATTTTCAGGATATTAGGAGGTTATTTCTAATCTAACATTTTCATTATTTTATCGTGTTTATCTTAAAAGCCAATTATACTTATTTCCATAATGATAATTTTGCACTGATACCAGCTCTTTAACACAACATCTTACATCTCTCTTCTGGAGAATTTTTGTTTATCAATTCATCCTATAACACTTACACATGGATGTATGTTATTCGGTTATTTAAAATTAAAGCAAACAAAAAGCTTTAAAAAAAATGGCTGTTTTCCTTCTTTACTTGATAAAATTGTACCGTTATAAACGTTTTTCCTTTGCATGATCCGCCTCATTACTTCATACACGAAATACAAAACATAGCAGTGACTTGTGTTGTCAGAGACAATCATGAGATAGACGAGAAATTCAAAGCTCCACTACTATCTGATTATTTGATAACGTTTAGAGTAATCCTCATGTCAGCAGTACTAAGATATATTATTTTTCTGCCCAAAATCTTTATCTGAGGTCGTGGTTGAGTTCATTAAAAAAAACCTTCCGTGCTTTATATAGTACCACCATCCATCATCTAGGATGGAAATTATCTCTTCCTAACTTGTACCTAAATATTTCAATATCAATACTGTGAAATCCGTGTCATGTATTTGGCTGTATCCTCCGTCATCTATATCTCAACACGCAATTATTCACCACCTAATCAGTGAAGATAATTGTTTGAAGTTGCACAATCTGTTATTTAAATGTAATAATTATTACCTTGAATTGATGGTATTGGTTTCAGAGAAAAAATGAAAAAAAAGCTACTGACAAATAGTTTCATAGAGTTGAAATAGAACTAGATCATAACAAAAGCAGAGTGAAACTATGGGCAGCGGAAAGGGCAAAAATTACCATAATGAGAAAACAAACAATTATTTTAATTTCAATGATCATAAAAACTTAACAAATGATATACAATGCATAATCAACAGACCTTTTCGCAGAACAAGTATACATTAAAACATAACAAACGAACAAGTACGTAACAAACATATATGAATGCAAAACCAACGATCATCTTTGCAGTACAAACGTACATAAAAACACGACAAACGAAAAAAACTTAACCAACATGCACGCGGTAAATCTAGTCTTCTCGACTCCCGACAGTATCGGATTTTTTTGTCGGTGCACAGAAACTCTTCAAACTTCTCAGGCACATTTTCTTTTTAAATGAATTCAATAATATGTAAAAACTTAAACAAATTTGCGTGTTTATTACTGAATCAGCAGTATCACCTTCAAAAAGCGGTAAATGTAGTACTTCGTTATAAATATGAAAACCAAAAACGGACATCGATACAGAGAGACGTAAGTGTCGTAGATAGTAAAGGTGCATGGGCACAGATTTGAAGTTAATATTTTCTGTATAATATTACGACTTATATATTTTAATAGCATTTCACACAAAAATATATTAAAAATCTTATTTCATCTAAAAGTTATTAAAACTTCAAATGTTTAGACGGGTTTGATTGACACATCCTTGCACTCTCACAAATTTTAATTTTATTCTTAATACTTAGGAAAAATGGCAATCTTGTTTCAATAACTTTAAGACGAAATAAATTAATTTCAAATCTGTGTCCATGTATCTTTTATATTGATATTGAGAAGATATTTCTTCTCAAAAAGATTGAATTAGTATTTCAGTGAAAATTGGTGGTGTTAATAAAAAAGATGAACAATTAAATTCTATAAAAATTCATAACATCAAAATGATTTGATTTCAAAAAAGATTTTTATCAAAATCTTTATAAAAAAAGGGCTAAATCTAACATTGTACTTAAGGTAAAATAATGCAAATTGAAAGTACTGCATTGTTATACATTGACGTAGCATCGTTTTTAAAAGGAGGGGGTAACCAAAGAAAAAGAAAAAAATTCAATCTAGCTGAAAAAAAGATTTTAAAAACTTATCAAGCAAAAACAAAAAGGAAATTTAAATGATATAGCCCAAACTCAAAAATCTCGTGTGTGTGAGTGTGTGTGTGTGTGTGTGTGTATGGGGGGGGGGGTTAGGTTTAACTTCTTTCAGTGCCAATTTTTTTCCCTAATATTCATGTACTACATATCCCTTTTTTGACATTACTCTTAAAATTGGGAATTGTTGCTACGTACCTGTCATATGATATGCCACTGTAATATAAAGTTATCATAATAGATTCTTGTAATATTTAAAGAATTGGGGAAAACCAACTTATGTAACAAGAACAACAAAAATTGACGAAATGGCCTTCAGGAGAATGAGATATTTTTCTATATTTTATATAAATTCTTTTCTTTCATTTTAAATTTTTAAGATGAATTAACCCCCATTAAAAGTAAAAAAATTAAGGGGGATCCGAGGTAGAACCACGTCCATGTTGTATAGCCTGTGAACATAAACATTATGTGGCAAAGAGTTCTATACAAAAAAAATGTGTGGGGGAATTGCTGTGCATACAAATTATCTAGCATGTAAATGAGGGTTTTCATTTATTAAAAAATATAAACTGTACCTCAGTTTGTTGTTTTTAATCGCGATTCTACGAAAACATTTGTGTCCTTTTTTCAGTGGTTTTCGCATTTTGTGTCCTTTTTTCAGTGGTTTTCGCATTTATAGCTGAGTACTAGATTTACCGCTTTTGGCAGATGATACTGCTGATTCAGTAATAAATACGCAAAATTGTTAAAGTTTTTATATATTAATGATTTTTTTTAACCTAGAAATTTGCCTGAGAAGTGTGAAGATTTTCTTGGCGCCGACAAAAGAGAAATCGGCAAGAAAAAGAAAAAAAAAAACGGGACCGTCGGGAGCCGGGAGTGTGATTTACCGCGTGCACGTTGGATTTTCGTGTTTTTATGTACGTTTGTACTGCAAAGATGGTTGGTTTTGCATTCATATATGTTTGTTACGAACGTGTTCGTTGGTTTTGCTTTTATGTATATTTGTTCTGCGAAAAGGTCTGTTGATTATGCATTGTATATCATTTGTTAAGTTTTTATGGTCATTGAAATAAAATAATTGTTTGTTTTCTTATTATTGTAATTTTTGCCCTTTCCGCTGCCCATAGTGAAACACCTCTCTTATAATTCTTGGAGAATTGGTCACATGGACATAACATCTACTGATTTTCGTGCTGTATCTTAAAAAGTAGACAACATGTATTTAATTCCTGCAATGTTAAAAGTTTTGCATTTTACAGTCTTCGAAGATCATCTCCTTACTTTGCGACTCTAGACCAGGCGACAAGTTTTTTAATGATTAGTCAAAAGGTTTGAACAGTTAATAATATGAGTTCCATTTTTATTGAATGCCAAAGAGTCGGGGCCTTTATGTATCATGAGGACTACTGGCAGAGGAATTTATTACTGAAACGAGATCTCGACCAATTACATTTAAAATGAAACTTTGAGTATAAGCTGGAAGTCATTATGTGAAGTTAAAAGCAAGTTCGAAAAGGTCATCGTAATGATGCCCTATACGTACATGATTTTGGAATTAAACTAAATGATTTTAATTCTACTATAATGTATGTGTGAATAAAAGTGATTTAGTAGTTAAAATATTAAAATTCCAACATCTTACATAATGTAGATAGCTATATACTAGTACACTTTTTTCCTTCTCGTATCTCAAGGTTCAAAACTAGTTTTTAATGTGGACAGTCTAAAGAAAGTTAGCCAAACGTAATTTCACTACGAGTATAATGCCCTGTTCACACGGAGAATCTAATTCGCAGTAAATTAATGCGAAGTAAACTAATGCGAATCAAACTAATGCGAATTAAATTGCGTTCACACGACAGCTAATGCGAAGTAAACTAATGCGAATTAAAAGGTTACTTCTGCAGCCTGGCGTCAGCACGGCTATTATGACGTCATTTGCAAATCATGTCACCTTATGCTGAAGCAGATCCATTTGGCATAATGACAAAGTGTCTGTATACACATTTTAATGATTAACAAAATTTTCCTTAGTTTTTCACTCAAAAATAGCACAAGTACGTATGGCTGACCACCGAGAAGTGGCATTTGACTAAAATTTTGCCATAACGCATGCGTCAGAATTCAAATCAAATTAGCTTCGTAGCGTTCACACGGAAATGCGAATAATTTAATGCGCAGTAAACTAATTCGAAGTACTAATTCGCATTCGCAGTAAACTTACGTTTAATTCGAATTAAACTCTCCGTGTGAACAGGGCATAAAATTGTAACTTTTCACTACGAGTATAAAATTGTAACTGTTTACTTAATCAGTTAAGATGATTGTTTGAAGTCTTACGATCTATTACGCAAAATATACCAAATTACTCGCAACAGATGGTGAATTCTGAGAATAGATGAACACGGGATACTGACAAACAGTAAAGAATA